ACTAGGACCCATACAGACTTGAGCTATTTGAAATATCAGAATTAGAATAAAAAATAACCAATATAGCATGTTTAAAAGAAGCAATGAAATTCTAAAAATGAATAAGTAGAAAGGAATAATATATATAACTAGACATATTTCAAAAAGAAATAGAACTTTTAAAAGTAAAAATATGTTTTTTGCTATTTAAAAAAACCCACAGAGGATAAGATAAATAGCATATTAAATACAACTGAAGAGAGAATTAGTGAATTTGATGACAGAGCTATTGGAATTTCCCAGAATGCAGCAAGGTAGCACAGAGAAACACAATATACCATGGAAAAAAAAGTTTAAGAAATATGGAAGATAAAGTGAGAAGCTACAATATCAAACCACAGTTCAGGAGGATGGGATAGAGAAAATGGAGGATAAGGTAAAATAAACTATTATTTTTAGAACTCATGGAAGTCAAGAGCGAGGACACAGGAAACACAACAATATCCCAACAAAACAAGTAAATCAAAGCTAGGCACATTTAAAATAGCTTGCTGAGCACTAAAACCAGACAGAAGATCTTCAAATCCCTGAGAAACAAAGTGAATCACATACAAAGAAACAACAATCACAATGGCAGCAACTTTCTCAACAGCAAAAGCCAAAGTCAAGAGACAGTGGAATATTATCTCCTAAAAGCCAAGAGAAAATAACAGTCATCCTAAGATTGTCCACCCAGCAAAAATATCTTCACTCACAAGAGTGAAACATACACATTTTCAATGAAACGGAAACAGAGTTTACTACAAACAGACCCAAGCCAAAGGAACTTGTAAAAGATGTACTGTTTCCAGGAGGAGGGAAAATAATCCTGCAAAACCATCCTGTAGTACAAAAAAAAAAGTGAATAAGTAGGTTAAATGTTAATAGATATTGTTTCTTAAAATAAAATAAAATAAAAAAAATAATAATATCTGATTTTCATGTTTTATTTATGGAAATAAAAACATTTAAAGCAACAAAATCAAATTACCAAAGGACAATAGTATGGAAGTTAAGAGAAGAAATGCTTCTGTGATTTGGCAAAAGTGTTGAGATACTCATATTAGAGTTTAGTAGGTTTGCATGGTAAATTTTCAGGAGAAACCATAAAAGAACAGAAATAGAATACAGTATAACTTCCAAACAAGTGAAAGGAAAAATGTAATAAGAAGCAAGCAAAAATGTAAAGTTTTAGTAGTCAAGAAGAGGAAATTGGGCATAGGAAAAATGTGGGTCAATAAGAAGCAAAAAGTGACAAATACTAGAAAGGAATACAGATATGTCAGTCATCACAATGAATGAAAAATGACTAAACTCACCACATAATAGACCAAGATTGTCTCACTAGATATTTCTAAATTTTAGTCATGTGATATTCACAAGGGACACATTTAAACATAAGGACAGGGAAAGGTTGGAAGTAAAAGATAATATTAATCAAAAGAAAGCCTTCTGCTGTCAGGAAATAGAGACTTTAGTATAGAAGAGCATAGTATAGAGAGAGGATATTAATAACAAAATGTTCAATTCATCTGGAAGATGCAATGATTCTAAAAATCTTACATATCCATAAAGCACAATGGTAGAACACATAGAGAAATCAAGGTCATCACTGGAATAAGATAAGTTCAAGATACCTCTTTTATTTTTTGATAGACAAAAAGTCAATTAGTAAGTTTGGTTTTTATACAAATATAGACCATATAACAATGGAATATTTACAAAAATTGACCTGGAATGGGCCATAAGAGAAATGTAAATAAAGACTATCAAAAAACAAGTATCATATGGACTGAGCTTTCAATTTACAATACAATTAAATTGGAACTCAAAAATATATACTTACAGGTGGCTCACGCCTGTAATCCCAGCAGCTCAGGAGGCTGAGGCAGGAGTTTAAAGCCAGCTTCAGCAAAAGTGAGATGCTAAGCAACTCATTGAGACCCTATCTCTAAATAAAATACAAAATAGGGCTGGGGATGTGGTTCAGTGGTTGAGTCCCTCTGAGTTCAATCCCCGTATATATATTTATAGATAGATAGATAGATAGATTTTTAAAATGCCACTTCTAAATACTTTATGGATTAAAAAATAATAACAATTTTAAAATATTTAGAACTAGACAATAATAAATTAATAAAAATATATGAGAGGTCCAGTAGAGACTAAAATGGTAAAAGCATACTATAAAAGATATATGCCAAAGGATACACAAAGATGTAGAAACTTAGAAGAAATAAAGACATTTCTTAAAAAAAAAAAAAACAACTAACAGTCCCAAATTCACAGACTCAATAGCCCATAACTGCTAAAAGAAGTCAATCAGTTCTTTAATTTTCCAACAAAGAGAATCATCATGCACAGACAAGAGGTATCAAGCCTAATCAATAGGCCATATGTATTATTCTACTCTTATGCAAACTCCTTGAGAAAAAAAAATGAGACCACCAATAGTCTCAGCTACTTGGGAGGATAAGGCAGGTGAATTGTAAGTTCAAGGCCAGCCTGGGCAACTTAGGGAGACCCTGCTGCAAAATAAAATAATAAAAAGGGCCAGGGATGTAGTTCAGTGGTAGAGTGCCCCTGGGTTCCATCTGTAGTACCAAAGCAAAAAAATGAGGAAATAAAGAAAGAAAACTTATTCAATGAGTCCACTGTACCTTTGATACTAAAACTCAAAGAATACAATAGAGAAAATTCATAAGGAAACATTCATTCATGAACATAAAGACAATAATCCTACACAAATATTAGCAAAACGAATCCTGCTCTTTATGAAAAAAGATAATACATGACTAAGCTGAGTTTATTCCAGGAATGTAAAGCTTAACTTCAGAAAATCTGTAATTATCATTCACCTTATTAGCATATTAAAAGAACAAAAGCAATATGGTTATTTCAATAAGGAGAAAGCACATTTTATGAAATTCAAAATACCTATTTATGGTTTTGTTAAAAAAAATTAACTAGCTCAGAATAGAAAGGGTTTTTTTTTAATCTCATAAAAGGACTCTTAACAAAAAAACCTACATTATTTTTGATGATGAAACTGCAAAGGCTTTTAAAATCGAGAAGAAAATACAAAAGAAGTAAAAGGTTTAGAAAGAGAAAAACCTTAAACCTGTTATTATTCACAGATATGATTTTCACATAAACTATTTTAAAAGTTTATATGTTAGTAATAGTGTGTTTTGTAATAGCCAAAAATGGGAAACAATTTGAGATCCATCAATGATGAATGGGTGACTACATTCAGGCTACACAATGGCTTCCATAGCAACAGTGGAGTCCAGACAGCAGAGGGCATGAATGACATGGATGAATCTCACAACCTTAATGTTAAGTGGAAGGTGCCAGACACAAAAGAGCACATGCTCTAAAATGTGAAGATAGGCTCAATTAATCTTTGCTGCAGACAGGAGGGTGGTTTACCCTTGGATGGGGGCTAGGACAGAAGGGCGTGGTATGCACTATGGGATGTAGAGCCAGTCAGTGCTGGGTTTAAATGCTACTTTCCCAGTAGACTGACCTTCTGCAAGACTCAGTTTCCCCAACTGAAAAATGAGCATAATAAGGATACTTACCTCACTGGATTATCGTGAGGTGAATGAAATAATGTATGTGAAGCAGCTTGTTCTGGAAAATGACATTAGCAGTGTTACTGTTCGTGGGCCCCTTCAGTAGGAGTCTAGAGCAACAACCCATGTGACCAAAACACAAGAAACAAATAGAGCTGAGTTCAGCAGGCAGTCTTGTGTTTCCTCTAAGGCTGCTATGGAGATCCCCACCCAAGACTTGGCAGCCTGTACTGGTATTGCTTTGTTATTAAAACTCTCACCTAGCCAGGTGTGGTGGCCCATGCCTGTAATCCCAGCAGTTTAGGAATCTAAGGCAAGAGGATTGTGAGTTCAAAGCCAGCCTCAGCAGTGGTGAGGCCAAAAAAAATTCCTCTTACCAAGGTCATATGCATAGGGAGGGACTGAGTGCTTAGAAATGCTAAGTCAATTCGTATTTTAGTGCATTTATGCTTCCTACAAATCTCAGAACAACAACAAAAAAAAAGTTTTCATTCTTACCTTTATGAGTTGCTTGAGTCTGCAGACATTTTGACTTGGAGTTGAGAGGCTACGGAACCCATTGCAATGCCTCTCCATCCACTCTATTAGGAGCTAGTCAGGCAGCCCCCCACCTCCACTTCACCCTGCCCTGTGGATGCATAGACATTTATCATGAAATGAATGCAGCACCTGCTTCCCCCCTGCCCCAAATTTCCTGCTTTTTGTAAAAGCTTCTGAAATAGATTTTGGATTGCCTGGTTGTCCTACAATGCTTGTTTTGCGAAGTGTTTCTTAAATAATTATTTATGCTTAGTGTTTGAAAAATAGCCTTGCTCAGAGAGAAGGAATATAATGTGCCTATTTCATATAACCAATATTAATGTGAGCACCCCTGAGCCAAACTGGAAGAGATGAGGAGGGGACACGTGAATGAGCAGCATTTGGATTTTGGCAGGGAGCCGCCAACGTGAGCAGCCAGACTCCCATAGAGTTTTACCAATCAGTGTTCACTGAACGTCACTCATTAGACAGGGCAATTGAGGAACGCAGCAAATACACACAGGGGTGGGAATGCACACTCCAGGGGACAAAAGAATGGACGACTGTCCCAAGTATCTTCCCAGTGTGACTTTTGCTTCACCACAAGATGGATTTGAGGCTTTTAAAACAGTGTGAAAAATAGGCAATGTTCCTCCAATTCATGAAAGAAACCAGGAAGGAGCTGGAAGTAGGCTGGGCCATGGTAGGGGTGCTACATAAAGCCCCAAATAGAAACAATGCCCCACAAGAAAAGCCACCCTACTCCTGCCCACAATAAAGAAGACACCATCCAGAACATTAATTTGGCCACGATTTAGCACAGTCAGAGATTCCTGGCAGAAAAAGCCCTGGCAGGAGTGATTTTTTTTTTTTTTTTTTTTGCAGGTTGAACAAAAAAAAGAAACCTCTTTGGAGCAGAGAGGATCGAAGATAATAGATGTGACAGCACTTGAGGAAGTTAAAGGGATTACACAAAGGTAAGAGATCATTGTTATTAGTGGTGTGTTTTGCTACGAAAATGCCAGAATATTTCTTATCGATCAATGATCTTGACACCACAATGGCCAATTGTGTCAGAGTGGGGAGGGCATCATCCAGTCTGGAGCCAGCAGGCCTGGTCAAACACAGCTGTACTGCTGATTGACCTAACTACCAGTAAGCCCTTCTCTCTGGCCTCAGGCTTCCATATCTGTAAGTGGGGCATATCAACACCATGCTCCTAGAGTTGATGGGAAGAAATGAAGGTATAAGTGCCTACGACATGGAGTCCTTCATAACCAGCGACTGTTTAATGAGCTCTTCTTATTCTGCACCATACATTGCACAATGCTTTTGTGTCCACACTCTCTTTATTCTTTGCAAGAAACTTACCTGGTAAGGATTGTTATTTTCCATTTACAATGGGGATCCAGAGGAGCTGAGACTGTGTGATGGGATTTCAGGGTCCAAACCCAAACCCAGTGATTTCAGTCACAGGCTCTTCATTTTCTATCATGCTTCTTCAATAAATGTCGGTTGAATCCCAAATAGGTTGTCCATCTTTTGAAGGCAGGTACTGTTTGTATTTCCTGAACTCTCATCCCAGAGCATCTGTTCTGGTGCTAGCTGCCAGTAAATATTTACTGAAATGGAAATGTTTCAGCCTGGAGGAAAGGTCCCTGCTGGCCAGGTCAGACTCTCCAACAACTGTTTCATGAGCTCCATGTGACTCTCTGCTCCAGGTGGGATGACCTCTGCACAAGGGAAACTCAGAGGCCATCGTACATGAAGCTTCTGAGGACAGCAGACCAGAGAACACACCCCACCCTGTGAAGAGGGAATCAGATCCAGATCCCTCCAGGTGGCTGGGCAGGTGTCTGAAGCCCTGGGGCATCATCCAGCCCTGCCACAAGAATGTCTCAAAGCTTCAGAATCGCTTATGAAGTAACAAGTGAGAGCACGTGGCTATTCTGTTCTGTAAATCTTGGCATGTTTTCAAAAGCTTGATGTAAAGACTGTATTGCAGAAAACACTGTACCACCAACAACTTCCAAATGGAAACTACTAAAGTGTACACAATGGAAAATGCACGTAGCATCTCAAATTAAGCCTTTCTAGTATACTGCCTCTTCATGCTTAAAGAGATGTGCCGAGCTTGATTTGATGTGATACCCAATACAATCAAAGTGGAATTTTAGAAATGCTAGTTATCTCTGAGTCAATGACAAATTAATACCATTGTAAATATTCTTTAGGATCCCTTCTTCACACACCAGAGATAATAATGTTCTGATTTTCACTTAAATGAAAGATTGAGCAATATTCCCTGAGGAACTGATTGGTGGATTCAATGAAGCTGCTCTTCTCAAGAAATCACAAATTTTCCTTTTCTCTCTTCCTTGGGTGTTTTCTTTAAAGCAAGACTCTTCATGCATTTGTCACCCTATGCAATCATCTAGTTATGAGTTGGTTCCTTCAGGGTGCACGTAATACGAGAGGAGTGTTAGAGTCTGTAAACAAGTCAAAATAACACCTGGCATTTTGCTAGGGGAATGTTAGAGTTCGTAAACAAGTCTGGATGGTGCCTGGCAAAATGCCAGAGGGAGTGGTTTGAGAAGTAACAAAAGCGAGCCATTAAGTGTGGAGATTCCTTATTGGTTGACTGATGTATCTAGTTTATGCTAATTAGATAAGCTGTGTGGAATGTATAAATACTGCTCCTGTCCAATAATAAACGGCTCCCACTCCTGCTGTATCAACGTACACAAGTTGTTCGTCACCCCCGGTTATTTTGCTGCAGCTGGACTGCGGCAGAGGAGGACAATTATGACTATCATTCAAAACCCAAGGAAGGACCCATGAATGAGCAGGAGGATACCAATTGTGTTGACAAACATGGGACACTAGCAGAGGGAGCCACTCACCTAGTTGGCACTGCATTCTGAATTAAAACAAAACTCACTTCTGTTTTGATTAGTGTAATTTTTCAGGGATGATTTGCCAGGCCAAAGTGTTGAATGGATTGGAACTTATGTCCCATGGCATCTCCATTCTCTAACATGAAGCACCTCTTAATTTTAATTGACTGTGGTCTCTTTCCAATCTTAGACTCCTGCAAATTTGCTTCTGAAAGTACCTGTTGGTATAGTTTAGGTATAAAATGTCCCCCAAAGACCCATGTGTTAAAATCTTGGTCCCTAAGGTGGCACTATTAGGAGGTAGTAGAACCTTTGAGAGGTGGGGCCTAATGGGAGGTCTTTAGGTCATTGGGGGGAGGGTGCCGTTCAAGAGGACTGTGGGACCTCAGCTGTGGGAAGCCATTCTCGCGAGTGATTTGAGTTACCTCCCTGGCTGAGAGAGGCGCTTAGACACAACTGTGTCAGAGTCTTCCCCACCCTGTCCCAGGTGCGAGGGCTTGTCCGTGTGGAGGTGTGCCTGGCCACTGACCCAAAGACCAATCACTGACCCTGACCTTGGAATGCTGCCCCTCCGTGTGGTGAGCCCCTTGGCCCTGGAACAAGGAAATAGGTCAGGTTTCCTGTTCACTGTTTCGCTTGAGGAGGCGAGTGAGTCACTGAAGCAAGAACCAGCTTTGTGGGCTTCCTGTTCGGCCTACCTTCTCAGAAGAGCCTGGGACAGATTGTACTTACTGATAAGTCGGCCCAGCTGGGTCTCGCATGATCAGTCTGAGAAGCTGACCGAGTTTGCCTAAGGGCTAAGCCAAAAACCGCTTCCTGCTGCAGAAAACTGCGTGTGTGTGTGTGTGTGTGTGCTTTAGCTTGGGTTTGGGCGGATATATAAGGGACAAGAGATGAATAAAGAGAGAGACTCCTGGATGAAGAACCTCGGTGTCCTGTGTTTTCTTTAACCCCGACGTCCCTCGCCGGGCTCGGCTCCGCTAGCCGGATGCGGCACCTCCGACCTTCATTGGATGGAATTTTCCCTTGATTTTTTTGTTCCCCAATAAAAGCTCACTCCCTGGCGTGTTTTCTCTCTTTCGCTAGCCTCTTGGGTAAACCTCGCCACTGCATTAGGTGGCTGGAGGCGGGAGCTAGGAGAAGCCGTCTCTGGAGCTGGGCATTAAAAGGTAAATAGAGTATGTCTCTTTAATTTTAGAACTCACTAGTTAATTCATATGCTTCGAACCTCTTTTATGAAGCTCGCGTGCTGGTCCTGTGGCAGACTCAGCCCTTTCCTTTTCTTGTTCTGTGACTTGTGGTATAAGTGTCTTTGCTCTGCCACATGTTTCCATCATGGTATGCTGCCTTGTCAGAGGCCCAAAGAAATAGAGCCAACTAATCATGGACTTAAATCTCCAAAACTATGAGCCAAAATAAACCTTTTCCCTTTATAAGTTGACTATCTTGGTCATTCATTATAGTACGGAAAGCTGACTATCACCTGTTCATGCACCAGGCAGTGGGTGCAGTCATCCTAGTTGATGTGTGGGTCATGGCCTGCCTCTTTCTTGCTCCTATTCTCCGGAAAGCCCAGATAAAAAGTGTCTGGCATTATCCAAGTGAACCCCCAGAGCCCTTGTCCCCCTACACTGCCACTGCTACTAGGTTCAGATTTTACATCCCAGGGCACTGTGTTCCCAGAATATGCAGAATGAATGTCCCTGTCCCCCAGGGACTCTGATTTTTCATAGGAATACACATTCCTGTGGCTCATAGTCTTTCATGCAAGACAGATTCTTCAGCCTTTGCCTGCTGCCCCTGCTCCCTCTCCTTCATCCAAGAGCCTGGTACAAATCCCCCTCAGCCATGCTCAGAGGCCCACTTTGATTCAGATCTTGCAAACTGACTTCTCCCTTGGCCCAGCTCACCAGACAGTCTCAGACAGGTTCATTCTCAGTGAGGGCTCAGGAAGGACACTCACTACCGCATTTTTTGCAAGAATAAATGTAGTATCTCCCTACAGATATTTCTTAATTGCAAAGTAACTATACCAAGCAAAGAGATGCTATTTTACAAAGGAACATTACTAGAAAGAAATTTGGCAAATACCATTCTTAACCAAATGATCAAAGTAAATATCACCAATCATGAGACAAAGGGACAGCAGGTGACCAAGATAATCAAGTTATAAAGGGAAAAGGTTTATTTTGGCTCATAGTTTTTTTTGGAGATTTAAGGGACAGCAGGTCTTTTCCAGGCTCACAGAAAAGACCACACCACTTCTGCAGCATTACCACTGAAAACACATGACCCAAATGCAACCATGAAGAAACACACCAACCCAGATTGAGGGACATTCTAAATAATACCCTGCCTATATTATAAAAAAATGTCAACATCAGGAATGTTAAAAAAAAAAAAAGATTTGATCACAGGTCTACATTCAGGGAAAACAAATAGGTATAACAACTGAACACACAGTCCTAGGTTTTCTATTGCTACAAAGGACGTTGTCAGGAAAAGGGGTGAAATCTGAAGAGAGTCTATGGGTTGGAAAATATTGATAGTCTTATCAATATATACAGTAGAAGAAAAAGGGATAAAACAAATGTAGTGAAATGTTAACATTTGGGTGTATTCGAGTGAAAATGTTTTGTACTATTCTTATAAATGTCTCTGTGAATTGAAAACTGTCAAAATTTGATTTAATTTTTTAAATTAAATTTGCTCAGATTGAGCAAATCTTTGAGATGTCTAAAGATATATTTGTTTGTTGTCAATCCAGGATCCATGGGGCATGTGGTTGCTATTTTCCGAGCAATAGCCAAGTCCAGATATAAGATCCCAGGTGGCTTCCCAGCACTTCAGTGAGCCAAAAAATCATCACATGAGCTCAGTTTGAGCCACTTCTGAACTTTTCAATGGCTGTTTCAAATTGCTTAGAAAAAAATTGAGGAGGCCATGAGCATGGTGATGGATAGTAGTTATATTACTAAAAGAACACATGCCTTGCACACTTCCACCCAGCTCCCACCCCCAGGGAGTTCTACTTGGCTTTTTTTTTTTTTTTTTTGTACCAGGGATTGAACTCAGGGGCACTCCACCACTGAGCCACATCTCCAGCCCTATTTTATATTTTATCTAGAGATAGGGTCTCAGTTGCTTAGCACCTCACCATTGCTGAGACTAGCCTTGAACTCATGAACCTCCTGTCTCAACCTCTTGAGCTGCTGGGATTACAGGCATGTGCCACTATGCCTGGCATCTACTTGGCTTCTGAGAGAGATAATCTGGAAAGTCAAGATCCCAGTGCTCCACAGTGATAAATTTCTCAGAGCCTGTTCCGTGCTGGCTGAGCTAGACTCCGCCATGGGAGCTGATTTCTTATGGCCCTAAATATAATTCAGAAGTAACCTGAAGCTACAGACACATCAGACAGCCTGAGGGCTCCCTTGCTGGCTTTGAAGCTCAGAGAAATCTAATTAAACTTTTCTCCACCCTCCCTCGTTCATCAGAGCATGGACTGATGGAGAACAAGCAACGAAGGTCAGAAGGTCAGGTTCAAGCTTGGGTGTCTCCTGAGTGGCCCTGATGGAGTCAGATCCCAGTGAGGGAGCATGGGAAGGTAGGAAGACCCTGAGATACTGGGAACCCTGAAGCTGATTTCCAGGAAGGACAGGCCCATTTTTTTCCCCTTTACATCAGAGACCACATGCTCCAAGTCCATGCATTTCTCCAAACCTGCTCAGTCACTGGTGAATCTAATACATAGAATCAAGGCAATATTCAATATCCATTTGAGGTAGGATAGAAGATACCAGGGCAGGTAGAAAGGAGACATGCAGGACAGAGCAAGAGTGGCCGTGATGTCAAGTCCAGATTTAAAGTCCACTCCTACATACTTTGATCACAAACTACCCACAGGTCCATGAATAAACTCTCTTGATCTGGACCTAAAGAAAAAAAAAAAACAGGTACAAGAATATTTTTCTCAACAAATAGATATTTCTGTGATTTATATTTTTAGGATCTAATTATTTCATCTATAAGTCATGCTCTCGATCAAACCCTCAATGTTACACGAATGTAGTACTGTTTAAGTTCACAAAGCACAACAATGAAACCCCGATGAGGAAGTCAATAAACATTTTTCATCAAAAACAGAGAAATAAAGAAAGAAAACAACCCCTAGTAGGTAATGATTAACATGTCAAGTCACTCACACAAAGGACTAAAAATGCCCTCTTAGATCATGTCTTTGTGCTATAGATTTTACATACATAAATATGCCTTGCTAAAGGGAAGCTAGCCCATTCCTCTCCAATGCCTGCATTCTACCCTGTCTCTCAGAGTGTGTATTTTTGCTTTCTCTCAATAAAATCAATCTGTATCTCACTTTGACCTGTCCTTAAATTCCTTTCTGAGATGATGTCAAGGACCCTCATAGCCTGAAATGAGATCTACCTCTCTTTGGGGGACCTTCTTGGGACCTCTGTAGATACAAGGAGCATCTATTGTGTGCCAGCAATGTACTAACTATCATAACAGATGATCTTCTTCAGTCCTTATAGAAACATATATCGCTAGTCTCTCTTAGAGTTGAGGATACTGAAGCCAGGAAAGGCAAAGCAGTTATTTTCTAGGTCATCTTTGAGAAACTGGGAGAGCAATTAGGAAGTTCACAATCACAACAGGAAGCCAAACATACCCACATGAAATATTAAATAGCAATAAAAGATCTGATGTTGATCTGATTTCTGTTACTGAGACAAAATGAATATGATCAACTTAAAAAGGAGGAAAGGTTTATTTTGGTGTGTAGTTTCAGAAGTTTCAGTTCATGGTGACTTGGCCCATTTGCTTTGGGTCTGCAGCAGCCCAGTATATGATGGTGGGTATTCATGACAGAGGAGGTCTATTCGCTTCAGGGAGGCCAGGAAGCAAAGAAAGACAGGAAGTGGCCAGGGTACCAACAATCACTTCAAGGGCACACTTCCAATGACATAACTTATTGCAATAAGGCCACACCTCCTAAAGCTTCCCCTGTTTTTCAATAGTGCCATAGGCTGTCGACCAAGGCTATAACAAATGGACCTTTGGAAGATATATAAGATCCAAGCCATAACAGAACCCTCTGGAAAAGGCATTCTCTATAGATTTTTTTTTGATGACCTCATCAAATCTCAGGCTCCATTCATCTCCTCCTTGAGGGGATCCTTAGATCCTCAGTCACTATCTTAGTCCAGCCACTCTACTTTGAGCTGTTGACTGACATCTTTTCTGGGATGCCCTCTGTGGAGCTCACACTCAACCTGGTCAACACCCAGCGCACCATTACTTCTCTCTTTTTACCAAATGAATTCACATCTGGATGTCTCTATTTATTGCGCTGTGACATCATTCTCTGAAGGGTTAAAGTTTGAAATCTTCAGCTTTTCCATTCCTGTTTCACTATATGCTCACCCATATATTTTTCCTCATTTCCCTTCTTCTTCTATGCTACCCCATCTCCTCACACACCTGTCTAAGATATCTGGACTCTTGGCAGAGAAATAGTATATCAATCCTTCCTTAGCCATCCCTTAAGGCACATTCTACAAATTGTCCAAGAAATAATTTTTGAAAGGTGATCAATCAGAAAAAAAAAAGTCAAGTCCTGGACACTTACTTTGTTTAGGTCTGATTTTAATGGTTTATACTAATTTTTTTATTCCCAAATGAAATGGAACAGAGTTAATAAATTAGCATTTCTTTAGAATCTATTATGAACTGAAACTTGGGCCAGTTACTTTCGTAAACATTATCTAACTTAATTATGACAACAATTTTTAAAGATAGATATTATAAAGCTCACTTGATACACAAGTTCACAATCAAGCTCAGCAGAGTTATAAGATGCTCAAGTCACACAGCTCCTAAGTTCATTTCTCCTTTATTACAATCTCTCCTTAAGTGATCTCCAGATTTAAAGCACTATCCTTAACCTAACCATGCCCAGACTCATATCTAAAGCTCAGTGTCAGACTCCGCATGATCACCCACTCACATCTCCACTTAGATGGCCAGTCCACCTAGATGATTTAACAGGTCCAAACACAAGTCTTAGTTTTCCACTGTTCACTGAAATGGTTCCTCCCTGCTTCCCCATTTTCCTTACCCATTTAGTGAAATCATAGTTACTTGGACTAAAGACCCACAAGTTATTCTTTTTTAAAAAAATTTTGTATTAGTGTATTATAGTGGGGCTCATTTTGACACAATCATACATGAAGTATAATTTGCTCCATTTCAGTCCCTGGTGCTTCCCCTTTCCCTCCCTCCCTCCCTTCCCATCTTCCCCTTTCTCTACTCTACTGGTATTTCTATTTATTTATTTATTTATTTATTTTTAATTGGTATTTTATGGATACACAAACAGTGAAATTTATGCAGTGTGTTCATATGTGTACATAGAAGAATTCGGTCAATTGCTTTCTACTGTTTCTCACTTTTCACAACTCTTCTCCCTCCTCCAGTCCCCTTCCTCTACGCCACTGATCTCCCTTCTATTTTCATGGTAATCCCCCACCCCACATACACACTTTCCCCTTGTTTTGCTCTAGTTTATGAATATGAGAGAAAAAACAATCAAAACTTGACTTTCTGTTTCTGGCTTATTTCTTAGCAGGGTGTTCTCCAATTCCACTAATTTACCAACAAATACCATAATTTCATTCTTCTTTCTGATTGAGTAAAACTCCATTATGTGTGTGTGTGTGTGTGTGTGTGTGCATACCATATATATATATATATATATATATATATATATACATACATACCACATTTTCTTTATCCATTCATCTGTTGACAGATATCTGGGTTGGTTTCCTGCTTCACTATTGTGAATTGTGCTGCTGTAAACATTGATGTGCCTGTAACACTCTCATATGCTGATTTTAGTTCTTTTGGATTAATACCAAGGAGTAGGACAGCTGGGTCACATGGTGATTCCATTCTTATTTTTTTATTCATTCATTCATTTTTTTATTCGACAAATATTTACTGGACACCTACCATGTGCCAATCACTATTCTATGAGCTCAGAAACACTAACTATACTGACGAAGCAAAAAGGTATTTTCTTTTTTTGTATATTCACATGCTTTATTTTTTAAATTTTATTCAAATGTTATCTCTTTTATTGACTTTTTAAAAAAATAAATGACAGCAGAATGCATTACAATTCTTATTACACATATACAGCACAATTTTTTCATATCTCTGGTTGTATATAAAGTATGTTGACACCAAATCGTGTCATCATACATGTGCTTTGGATAATGTTGCCTGTCATATTCCACCACCCTTGCTAATCCCCTGCCCTCTCCCTTTCCCTCCCACCCCTCTGCTTTGTCTAGAATTCATCTATTCCTCCCATGCTCCTCCTCCCTACCCCACTATGAGTCAGCCTCCTTATAGCAGAGAAAACATTCAGCATTTGTTTTTTGGGGATTGGCTAACTTCACTTAGCATTATCTTCTCCAATGCCATCCATTTACCTGCAAATGATTTGATTCTATTTTATTGCTGAGTAAAATTCCATTGTGTATATATACCTCATTTTTTAAATCCATTCATCCACTGAAGGGCAACTAGGTTGGCTCCACAGTTTAGCTATTATGAATTGTGCTGCTATAAACATTGATGTGACTGTGTCCCTGTAGTATGCTGTTTTCAAGTCTTTGGGGTATAGACAAAGGAGAGGAATAACTGGGTCAAACTGTGGTTCCATTCCCAGATTTCCAAGGAATCTCCACATTGCTTTCCATAATGGCTACACCAATTTGCAGTCCCACCAGCAATGTATGAGTGTGCCTTTCTCCCCATATCCTTGTCAACACTTATTGTTGTTTGTCTTCATAATAGCTGCCATTCTGACTGGAGTGAGATGATATCTTAGATTAGTTTTGATTTGTATTTCTCTAATTGCTAGAGATAATGAACACTTTTTCATATATTTGTTGATTGTTTGTATATCCTCTTCTGAGAAGTGTCTGTTCAGGTCCTTGGCCCATTTGTTGATTGGGTTATTTGTTTTTTTGATGCTTAGCTTTTTGAGTTATTTATATACCCTAGAGATTAGTGCTCTGTCTGATGTGTGAGGGGTAAAAATTTGCTCCCAGGGTGTAGGCTCTCTGTTCACCTCACAGATTTTCTTTACCACACATTTTCTTTATCCATTCATCTGTTGACAGGCATCTGGGTTGGTTTCACAACTTCACTATTATGAATTGTGCTGCTATAACAGTGTAGCACTCTCATATGCTGATTTTAGTTCTTTTGGATTAATACTAAGGAGTAGGACAGCTGGGTCACATGGTGGTTCCATTCCTGGGTTTTTTGTTGTTGTTGTTGTTGTTTTTTTGAGGAATTGCCATACTGCTTTAAAAAGTGATTGTATTAATTTGCAGTCCCACCAATATTGTATGAATGTACTTTCCCCCCCACATCCTCACCAATATTTATTATTTGTATTCTTGATGATTGCCATTTTAACTAGAGTGAGATGAAATCTTGATGTAGTTTTGATTTATACTTTCCTGATTGCTAGGAATGCTGAACATATTTTAAATATTTATTGGGAATTTGTATTTCTTCTTTTGAGAAATGCCTATTTAGTTCTTTTGCCCATTTATTGATTTGTTCCTTTTTTTCTTTTCTTTCTTTTTCTTTTTTGACTTTGTTTTCTGTTTTATGGTATTAAGTTTTTTTCTTTATATATTGTAGATATAATCCGAGAGTACTAACTAAAAAAGATTTTATCTCATTCTCTAGGCTCTCTCCTCACATTTTTATTATTTCCTTTGCTTGATTTGCCTCTTTCCCTCCTCCACATACACTCAATCTATTAGGAAGTCTTACGGGCTCCAGTTACGAAGTAGATCTTGGATTCCAATACTTTCCACATTTCCACAGCCAAAACTGTGGACCAAGCCCATAGGGTCTCTCAGCAGGTTGACTCCAGTGGTCTCGTCCAACTCTGCCTGTCTCTGTACTTGCTGTCCACCTTCCCTGACCATAACACATCCTCTCCCACATAGTGAGTGATTTTTTGAGAGAATTAATTAGACCCTGTTACCTTCCCTGCTCAAAACTGTTCAATGACTTCCCATCACCATGGTCCACGTGGCCCGCTGAACTTTCCTGTCTCATCTCTACCACGCCTTCCACCTTTCAATAACACAGGCTGAGTCAGTTCCCTAAAACATATCCATCTCGTTCCTGCCTCCAGGAGATTATCTTACCTGGGATATTCTTCTCCTAGATCTTCACCTGGCTTCTTTCTTTACATGACTCAGATCTCTCACCTCCTCAGAAAAGCTTCCATTCTCACTTTGCTGATGTGGCCACTTGGGCCCCTTCATTCTCTATCCTATGATTCCATCCCACTTTCTTCTTACCACATATCCATCTGTGAAACTATTTTTTAAAAAATTACTTTATTTTCCAGAGAAATTTTAGGTTCACAGCAAAATTGAACCAGAAGTACAGAGAATTTCCATATCTCCCCCGACCCTCACTTCCCCCTACTATTAACATCTCCCACCAGAGGGGTACATTTGCAATTAATGAACCTACATGATCTTATGATTATTACTCAGAGCCCACAGTTTACATAGAATGGATGTCACATGTATAATGATGTGTATTCACCATCGTACTATCATGCAGAATAGTTTCACTGCCCTAAAATTCCCCTGTGATACACCTAGGAATCCCTCCCTCTATCTCCTCTAATCCCTGGCAGCCACCAATCTTTTTATCGTCTCTGTAGTTTTGACTTTTCTAGGATGTCATTTCATTGGAATTACAACCCATAGCCATGTGGACTGGCTTCTTTCATTTAGTAATACACATGTCCTCTCATGGCTGAATAGCAAGTTCCTAGGGATGTATCATTTCATTCCATCCTTTGTGGCCAATTTAATCTAAGATAAGCTAACATTGGTGGTGGGAAAGCAGTACAGGTCTGAGGACTACATAATGTTCCCTTCAATCCTACCTTGAAAGACCAATGAATCTCACCCCATGAAACCATGAGTATTGTGTTATGGTCCAAACCCCTACTTTTTCTGGCTGCCTTCCCAAAAGGTATTCCCTTCTTCCTAAGATGACAACTTTTTTTGTGTATCTATCTTCCTTAGTTTGCCATGTCCTTTGGAGAAAGCTGGGCATATCCTTAGTCCCAAAAGTCTATATGTGTCTAAGTCAACATGGTGGTCCTTTTCCCCTTTCCTGTGGCTTAGGCACGAATATGGCATGCAATTCTGGACAAGGACACATGCTAGAGGTCTTCTATGCAAAATTATGACACTTGCCCAAAAGAGACACAAGGAAGGAAAATTTCTCCTCTTCCAAAGTAGTGATTGCTTCTTCATGTCTTTGAGTGTGACATCTGAAACTAAGGGAGTCACCTTGACCCAAGAACAAAGCTCACATTGTGAAGGGTGCAGAACAGAAGCAGGGAAAGAAGCTTGATGGCATGCTGAGCTGCTGAGTTAACCAGTCACTGGAGTCCCTGCCTCCACATTTCTTTATGTGAAGGAGTGCATCATCCTTGTCTGAACATTCTGAGTCAAGGTTTCTGTTCTTGCAGCCAAAAGCAGCCTCAAGGAGCCATCAACTCTTGAAGTCTTGTCAATCCATGTCCTGGCTTAGCCTCAGACCTGCATTAGTCACTAGTGAAAGCATGTTCCAAGCCAAGATTTTTACTGCTTTAAGCAATGAAGTGATCTGCATTTGGATTTCTTTAGTCTTGTACTTTTTTTAATATATGGAATCCTTCCAAACAGAAGGACAAAGTGAAATGCACAATTTTGACATATCTATTGCACTTTACTTTCTACAGAGCCTTCCATCTTTCCTTGAACAAGCCCTTCTTAATCACCTACTATGAGCTAATCAATGTTCAAAGTAAGGAAGATGCAGCAGTGAACAAAACAGCCAAGATCTCTGTCCTCAAGAAGCTTATGAGAAAACAAGTACAAATTGTGGTGAATGGACAGGAAGAAAATTATCAGGGAATGGAAAACAAAACAGGGAACTGGGGCAAGGAGACCTCTTTGGGAGGGTAGCCAGGGAGGGCCTCTCTGAGAAGGTAACATTTTTTTCTTTTTCATATGTAATTGCATCTAACTCCTTAAAATTTTATTGTAGTAAAATATACACAATATAACATAATAATATCACTTTAACCACTTGCAAGTGTACAGCTAAATGATATTAAGTATGTTCATATTGTTGTTCAATCATCACCATCATCCACCTCCAGAACTTTTTTGTCTTTCCCAAACTGAAGTTCTATACCCATTAAACCCCAGTTCCTCAGACCACCCCCCAGCCCCTGTAAACACCATTCTGTTGTCTGTCTATGTGCATTTAGATCTCCCATATAGACTTCTTGAGATATTCCATAACCATGGAATCACTTTTTCATGACTGCCTTATTTCACTTAGCATAATGCCTGCAAAGTCCATCCATGGTACTGAAATGGTGCCCCCTTTCTCCAGGAAAAGTCTTAACTGGGCTTCTCCAGAAATCTTCACCATAGCTGATTTTAGTACTGTCAGCAAAAGAGTCTCTACAATTTAGATAAACTTCCTATTTTTGTGTTGCCCTGTTTTACTTGGCCGCTAGCCTGGAAGAAATCAGCACTAAGGGCTGGGGTTGTTGCTCAGCAGTAGGGTGCTTGCCTTGCACATGCGAGACACTGGGTTTGATCCTCAGCATCACATAAAAATAAATGAATAAAGTAAAGGTATTGTGTCCAACTACAACACTAATATATATATATATATATATATATATATATATATATATATATATGTATATATATATGAAATCAGCACTCCAGGTGCTGGACACCCCCTTACTAGTTTTTCACAAACATATCCAGTATAGTAGTTTGTAGAAATATGCAAACAAGGCCTCTGGCCTTGAGCTGGGGCTTCACAGAGATGTCTACATTTCTAAGATAAGAGAAGTTACCAATTGGGCTCCTTGATGATAGCTGACAGGGGGAGGAAAGAAAGGGAAGAAGAAGCTCTCCCCTTCCCAGGTGTTGTCCTTGAAGGGTTAACTTGCCCAGAACAGTGAAAGAAAAAAAAAACTGCTTTTATGTGAACTTCTGCAGACTGTGAACTTCTGAGCCCCTCCCCTTAACTGCTGGGTACAAAATTCTGAAACTACCTGAACTCGGGGTTCAGGGGATTGATTGATTACAGCAGAAGCTGTGCCCTCTGAACCTGGCTGCATCCAAATAAAACTGTTTCCTGCTATCTTCGGTGCCTTGCCTTGTCTGTCCTTACAACAGTATAGCATATATCAGAATTTACTTCCTTTTTGAAAACTGAACAATATTCCAGTGTGTGTGTGTGTATGTGTGTGTTACATTTTGCTTAACCAATCACCCATCAGAGAACACTTGGGTTAAAGAAGTGACATGTGAAATGATAGTTAAAGGACAAAAAGAACTGACCACAAAAATTGCTGGGGTAGTGGTTTCCTAGTGAATGAAACAACAAAGACACAGGCGTGGGCAACTCCTAAGAATTACTTAAGCTCCAATTGCAATGTCAGTACATTAATCTCCAAAGTTTTCTCTCACTTCCCTGAGTTGCTGGTCACTCCCTGCCTGTACCTGCAAGGAACTTTGCCTGTATTTATCCCATCACACTGTTCTCTCCCCTACCAGGCTAACAAAACTTACAAAACCTTCTTAACAATGCTTTTTCTAACAGCTGCAAATAAACTGCAAAACTGGTGAATTTGAGCTGCCAACAAACTGTGAAAATGGTGGATTTGAGTTTCCTTTTACTCTTAGTCCCATAAGGCAGAGGAGATAAGGAACAAGATGAAAAAGCAAATGCAGGCAGCAGAGGAAAATAAGCAAAGGGCTTGAGTCTGCTGCTAGTTAAGCCCTGATTTTAGAACCATTGCTTCCTGACACAGGAAGGGATATCGGAGATCACCTGGTATGATGTTTGCTTTGCCCTGGGGTGAAATGCTTCATGCACACTTCTTAGACAAATGCAATTTGTTGGGGGCAGAGTAGGCTCTCAGCCATCCTGAGAGATGGTTGAAGTGAATTTTTGGTGCCACTCCATAAGTTCCTGGTTCCCCAACTGCTGGAGCATCTTATATCACTTGAAGATTGGATAGTGAGTTGATGGGCAAAGGGGTCCTTGCAGGATCCTGCAGCTTACCTCAACAAATGCTGCGAACAGCCCTGTGAGAACTGCTTAACAAAATCAATGTTATGGTGTATGGTCCTGAATCACTGTGCATAACTTATGGGCGACTATCCATCTCTGGGAAGGGCTCCCTTTCTATGAAATGGGGCTCCCTTGAGATGTTTTTGAAGGTTAATTAGGTTACTTTTCTTCCAAACATAGCTTTCCTTCCAAACACTGTAGCAGGTAAAAAGTTAGGCTCAAGAATGGACATAAACCCTGTGAGCCTGAGTTTGCTCACCTGCAAAGTGGGGGTGAAGAGACTCGAGCACATGTTAGGGATGTAGATCAAGTATGGCAGGGCCCAGCGCACAACAGGCTGAGTAACTATTAGCTATTTTTGCTCTCATTATTCCCAAGTCACCAGCAGGCAAGCAGCAGGCAGGATGTGCTCACCTACAGACGGGTGCTTCAGAAAGAAGGATTGGAAGTCCTTTCTTGGGGAGAGGAAGAAAAAACAAGAGCATCTGAGAGGCAGAAGATCCTGAGCAAGTGCAGGTAAGGGGAGGTAAGGGTAGACAGTGGATATCACTTTCATCAAATGTGACAGCCAGAAGGCAACGGGGACCAAGAGGGAGAATCATCGTTGTATTCAATGAGCAAGAGCAAGTCATTAGTCCACCCTGAGAAGAAGTGCCATTGAAATATTGAAACCAGCAGCCAAGATGTTCAAGAAGGAAGAAGAGATGCGTGGGAACAAAATGAAGGGCAAGAGAAGGTGCAGTGGCCTAACTGGCCACTGAAACACAAAAGATAAGACTGGAGAAAGCCACAGAAACAAGACTGAGAGCTGCTCAGGTCTGTGGAAGAGGCAAACCAGCCTGGGATGGGACAACGAGGTTCTAGGCATGGCTGCCCCATCTCTAGGGAGACTCCACAGGGAAGGTTAGAAGATTGCCAAGCAGCAGGCTCCGGCTCACCTTCCAGCCCTCTCTGCATCTCTACCCTTCTCAATTCTATGATTAGGACAGTCTTGAAGGGTGGTCGGCTAGTCTCCTCCTTTATGGATGGTCCTGTGCCCTGTCCCTGTAGAGATGCTTCAGGAAAATGGATTTGAAATCGATTCTGCCTACAATGGTACCAGTAACTCATTCCCTTCCCAATTCCCTCACTATGTAGAGATTTGGAAATATGGTGAAGCAACCTGGCCAAAGACTTATATTATCTCTTTTCCTCTTTTTGTTATCTTCGGGGTGATGAATAAGAATCTGTCATACTATTTATGGCAAAATGCCACACACTCACTGTCTTTCACATTCAAATCTCGACTTAAATACTGTGAAACATGCATGCCCTCCTTAAAAGATGCCTCCCTGAAAGCACACAATTCACCGTTATCTCTTCACGACCAGGTGTATTCTGGGACCAGAAAATTCATTTTCCTATTTAAAACAATGAATGGGATTGAGATCCCGATTTATAAGGTAGCTGCTTTAGGCTGCCAACTCTAGATATTTTCATCTTTGATCCAGGCTGGTGTCTGCTTCAGAGCAAAAAAAAAAAAAAAAAAAAACAGCCAGGAGCAGACAGAGAGAAAAAACACATTCCAAGTGGGAACTTTGGCCAAGAGGGAAAATCTTATCTAATCCCTGTGGCACTAAGATGTGCTCGGCCAGCAGCCCCAGTCTGAGAACAGTTTTGAGGTCAAAGAGGAAGGCTGAAATGGCCTTGCCTCTGCTGTCACGACAGGTTGTCCCTGTCAAAAAGTTGTTCAGGATTGTCTTTATTTAGATTCTCTGAAAAGCAGATGCCAAGATGGCAAGAGATTTACAGGGGACCTGTCTGAAGGATGAAGGGAGGGGAGTAGGGAGAGGGAGGACAGCCTTCCAAACGTGATGCAGGTCTGGCCCTTGCAGAGGTGAGAAAAGGATTAACAATTGGGCTGGAAGGCTCTCAGACTTCAGCACTGTTCTCAGAGGGTTCAATGAGGTTGGTGGGGAGCCGCTGAAACAGAGTGCTTACCAAAAGAAGCCCTATCCTCCAGGAATGGGCTGATTTATCACCTCCACCTTGCTCAGTCATTGACTGGACCCACTCTAGGGCTGCCTGACCTTCAATACGGTGGTCAGTCCAGCTGGAGCATTAGTCAGGCTCTCCTGCAGTGGAGATCTGGTAGCACATTTCCATGACCACCCCAAGGAGACTTTGCAAAAAGCCTATGTCTAAAACTCTGATAATGATTTTTAAGAACATGGCTCAGATACCAATATTAATGAATTCCACTCAAAGCAACAGCAATGAACTAAGGATGTTTCTGAAAGTCAAGGACAAAACACATAGGGATCGAGAAGAAACTGAAGCTGGCTCTAGGGCCCGCTGAGCCTCACATTATGAATGTTTTTTCCTGGACTACTTGCAGAGTAGGTGTGGGAGTTTTCCTCACACCAACTAATTCTCTAACTGTCCAGATATACCAGGTGTCCTGAATTTCAACTCAATTCTGATACTCATTACCTGGAGTTAGTGCAGACCCCACAAGTTAAGCTTCAGTACCACAGGACTTCCCCCACTTCAGATACCAGTCACATGACTAGGACCTCAAACCAACTTCTGACCACTGGCTAAAAAGTTAGGGGTTTCCATGACCCGCACTTCTCACACTCAATAATTTGTTACTATACGCACAAAACTCAGACAACACTTTACTTATACTTACTGGTTTATCATAAAGGATATAACTCAGAAATGGTCAAATGGAAGAGATGCATAGAGCAAGGCATGTGGGAAGTAGTGTGAACTTCTGTGACCTCTTTGGATGCACTGCTCCCCCAGCACCTCCATGGGCTTACTAACCTGGAAGCTCTCA